TGTGTGTGTGTGTGACTGTTCTGCACCTTGTCTGGGCGCACCTGGAGCAGTGCAGTGGCTGCTACAGTAAGTACATACACACACAGAAAAGGCCGATACTTCTCTCACCCCACTCCTGGAACTCGAGAACTAATGTCCCACCCATTAGGGACCAGAGGCCCCTCGGGGAGGGACACCCACCCAGGCCTAGGCACTCACCCGCCCAGCTTCTTCCCGTAGGCCATGGCCTCCTCCACCAGGTTCTGGTAGACGGGCATCTGAGCAGCGGCCAGGATCAGAGAGGGGTTGGTGGTCGCATCCTGGGGCTTGTACTCGTCAATGGCTGAGAGGTGGAGGTAGATTGGAAGGCAGGACAAGTGAGTGGGGGACTCCGATTCCTGACCCATGCACCTGACACACAGCCAGGGCTCAGCTGCCAAGAGAGGCTTGTGTGTTGTGAGGATGCTGAACAAGTTTCAGACCCCATCACCATGCATGTGGCCGCACGGGACAGCTGACGTGGAGTGAGCGGGGACCTACGTCCCGAATCAGGACTCAAGGTCCCATCACACTTCCCCCTCCACCCAGATTTGACAGAGAAGCAGTGGTTTGCACAACCATACAATGCCCCGGTCGAGACTGGACAAGGACAGAGCTTGAGGAAGGCACTTGGCAACTGAGGAGCATGGACAAGGGGTACGGGTGGGGGAGTGTGGCACAGGGCACGGAAAGGACCACTCTTCCTGGGGCAGTCTGTCAGGGTGGGAGGGACACAACACAGATGCCTGTGTGCCCCTCTCATGACACGTTTGTTCTTTCTTCTGCAGCCGTGAATTCAGAGACACCAGGGCTAGTTAGGGTCCCGCCAGCCAGCCTGGCAGGTGACCTTCAGGGCCAGGAGCCAATAAATGAGACTTTACAAACTGCCAACGACGTGACCCATACCAGCATCAGGTCACTAAGGGAGGCTGAGCTGGTTCTGTAAGTTTATTTGGCAAATAACTATTTTCAAAGTGTGCTTTGGTGATGGAGCCACAGCACCGGAGAGAGATTGGTGGTTGCCAGGGGCAGGGAACGGGGCGGGGTCCGACTCAGGAGAAGTTCTGTGAAGATGCAGAGTGGTCACAAAACCATGCAACCTCATAGAACCACCCAGGATGACATATGAAGGCAGCTGCAAGGCAGTGAGGCGAGAACTCAGCTCGGTTTAGGGTCTGCTCACAGCAAAATCCTGCTTCTGCTATTGGACCACCACTAGAAAGCGGGGTGATGGGGTCACAGGGCTTGGTGGACTAATTTTACAACTTCTTATGACCCTGTAATTACTTCAAAATAACAGGCTGAAACATGTCTGGTGGTGTTTACACAAGTGTGGGTACCTGTCATAACCCACCTACTTCACATGGTCCATTCTCCTGCACAAAGTCACATCCAAATGAAGAGGACAGCCTACAACGCTGGCTGTACCAGTGATACAGCAGCTAGGGTTTGGACAGGGGCTCTGGGCACAGTGGGTTAAGCGCTGGGCTGCTAACTACAATGTGGGAGGTTCGAGCCCAGCAGCCACACCTTTGCTCCCATAAAGATTTTCTTCCTGTTGAGTCAGCTCCGACTCAGCAGACTCTGAATAGGGTTTCTGCAGAGCAGCTGATGGGTTTACCCTACAGTGCCACATCAGGACTCCTTCGGAACCCCTGTGGAGCACTTCTACTCCATCCCAGAACGTCCCAATGAGTCCGACCTGACTTACGGGTAGTGGGTAGCAACTGTAGTCTGGCTGGGCTTGGGGTCAACAGACAGGCTTCAGCGTTTAGACAGTTACATTGAATGAAAAATGGGGGGGGGGGCATGGTGTTTACGGTTCTGTACAGCTTGTCGAAGCTGACGTGCCAGCATTTGACAACAGCTTTTATTTAGGATCCCTTCAGAGAGGCCCCGAATGCATTATTTACAGTTGCGTGAGGCGTGAAGTCCTGGTATGCGCCTGCAAGATAATGTACTGGACCACAAGGTCAGCAGTTCAAACCCACCAGCTGCTCTTTGGAAACCCTAGACAGGGTCGCTATGGGTCAGAACTGACTCAATGGCACTGTATAACAATGTGAACTGCATAAAGATAATGGTATCATATTATGAGATTTTTATGAACTTGCTTATCTTCATTTAAGGGGAAAAAAAAAAGGTGAGCACTTGGTTTCAGAGGCTTCTACAAAGAACAACGAAGTATTCCCCAGGCCGCCCTCCTGGCATGATCTCAGGCACACGGTTCCTGCCCATCCACTGCTAGATGGGGACCCAGCTGATCCTACGGCGCACCACTGGGCAGCAGGGAGGGACAAAGACCAGGGCTCTATCAGGAATGGGGAAAACTCAGCCGGGCACCTTGTCCTGCCAGGCACGGTCACCACCCAGAGGTCTCCTCCACAGGCCCCCGCCCACTGCTGGGGCAGCTATTGTCTGATGGTTTAGCTTGCAAGGTAGGCACCCAATCCAATGCCTGTCTCCACCTATGATATTTAAGCAGCCAAATATGCTTATTCACTCTCCTTGGCTAGATAAACAATCCTCTTATTCAATTACCAAAGAGGAATTACAGCCTGTTTCTTAAGTCACCATGAGAAAGCAGAAAAAAAGAGGAAGTCCAGACAGCTGTGAGGTCTCGGTGTGCTTTGCCTGGAGGTGCCCGTGTCCACGGGGCGTTGCCTGGTTACCCTGAAACCCCACTGCACACAGCTGTGCCCACATACCAGGCTCCGGCGCTCCGCACACCCTCATGTTTGCAGCGGTGGGGACAGCTGATGGTGACTTGACACACATCACTGTTTAGTGCTTTCTGTATTTAACGAGTTTTCGACAATGGACAGGATACAGAAGCAGGGAGAACAAAATTCTCAGTGTACTGAGGCTTTTTTCTTTCTCTTTTTACTCATTTTGGACCCTGTCACAAATGGCCACCAGGCAAGGGCAGGTCTAAATGTGCAACAGGAGGTATCCGAAGCAGGGTTCTGTCTACCTAAGCCCTCGATTCACATCTCCATCTCACCCATGTTTCCTACTCTGTTGCTAAAATTAACTGGATAAGGCGGCAACACCAGGCTGTTGCTCCTCTCAAGATTCCGTCTCAGACACCCTAAACAGGGTTGCTACAGGTGGGGAAGTAACTTCTGTTTAGGAGTCCTGGTGGCGTAATGGGCTAAGCACTGAGTTACTAAATGTAAGGTCTGCAGTTCAAACCCACTAGCCGCGACAGATGAGCCTGTCTGCTCCCATAAAGACTTGCAGCCTGGGACACCCTAGACAGGGGTCGATCGCTGTGAGTCTGCATCAGCTCGACGGCAGTGGGTTTTCTGTTGTTTTTTTTTTCCTGTTTAAGAGATCTGTGGGTTAAGCACTGGATTGCTAGCCGTAAGCTCGGTGGTTCAACCCCACCAGCCGCTCCTCGGGAAAGAGACGAGGCTGTCCACTCCCATAAAGATTTAACAAGTCTTGCAAACCCTATATGGACTCGTATGATTCTGAAGCTACCCGGAGGCGGTGAGTTTGGTTTTGAGGTTCTGTTCAAGCTGATGAGAAAATTCAGGACCCGCTAACGGGAATGCTAAGCAACATGAGGAGCGTAATTCACGCCACTCAACTGCACACGCTGAGTTTGAAGACACGGTGAATGCTCTGTTACCTGTATTGTATATCCACCCCAATTAAGAACGCTTAAGAAAACTGAACTACTAACACTGATCTGTCACCGCGAATCGGCCTCGGCCAGACCTGATCGGTCCTGGGAGCAGCCTCCTGGGGCACGCCCCGAGGACACGGAAGGACCCGGTGGACTCGGCCTCGTCCCGCCCGCCGCCCTTCGTCCCACGGCGCCCCGCGCGTGACCGGCCGGAGTCCGCGCCCAGTGCCCGCCGCCCGGGCGCCCCCGGGCTCCGGGATGCGTGCCGTGAGCTCCCTGGCCGATCTCCGAACTCTGATCTCCGGCCCCCGTCCCCGGCCCGACCTCGGGGCCTCGCGCGCCGCTCGACCCCGGAACCCGCCTCACCGTTGAAGTCACCAGTGTCGGCCACCACAGTGGTGAACTGCTTGAGCTGGTCCAGAGCTGACTCCATCCTTTGACGCTTCACCACCGAGCCCGACATGGCGAAGCGCAGCGGCAGCGGGAACTACACCAGCCGACCGGCCCCCACAATGCCCCGCGAGGCCGCCTCTTCGGCTCCGGCCAATTGGAGAGAGGCGCGAGGGGGCGGGGCCGGAGGACGCCGTGGCTGCATGGGGACGAAGCCCCGCCCCTGGCGCTCAGCCCCACCTTCCATACCGAAACAGGTTGAGAAGCCTCGCCCCTAGCCCTCAGCCGATCACAAAGCCTCGCCCCCAGCCCTCAGCCGACCGAGAAGCCCCGCCCCTGCAACGAAGCCCCGCCCAGCTCTCTGCGGGCCGCAACTGGCAGCCAAGCCTCGCCCTGACTGCGAAGCGCCGCCCCGTCCCGCAGCAGGTTGCGAAGCCCCGCCCCAGGCTCGAAGACCTCTGTGGTGGACGCGACCCTTACATTCCTCCTTTTACCGTGGGAGTGGGGCTGCAGTGGGGACTACAGGAGTTAATGATCCGGGTTAAAGCCTGTGAAACGATAGCCTAAGAAACTCGGGCACAGGGCCGATCTCCACTCAGTAAGGAGAGATTTTATTCAGGTCTTATTGTGATTGCTAACGTAAGGACTATTGTAATTGTTCGTCCGGTTGAATCTGTACCTTATGCACAACAGAACGAAACACTACCCAGTCCTGCACCAATCTCACAGTTGTTACGACGCTTGAGCCCATCTGCTGCCACCACTGTGCCAATCCATCTCGCTGGGGGTCTTCTTTTTCACTCTCCCTCCACTTTACCAAGCGTGATAGCCTTAGCCAGGGGCTGATCCCTCCTGATGCTATGTCCGAAATATGAAAGACAATTCTGACTTCTAAGGCGAAGTCTGGTTGTACTTTTCCAACACATATTTGTTCTTCTGGCAGTCCATGGTACTTTTAATATTCTCCTCCAACACCATAACTCAAATGCATCAATTATTTCATTGTGCAACTTTTACATGCCTATGAGGTGACTGGAAATATCATGGCTTGGGTCAGGCGCACCTTGTCCTCAAATTGACATCTTTGCTCTTGAACACTTTTAAAAAGTCTCGTGCAGCAGATGTGCCTAAAGCAATGCACAGATTTCCTGACTGCTGCTTCCATGAGTGTTGATGAGACTAAACAACAGAACAAAATGCTGCTGGGGTAGGTGCCATCTCCTGATAGCTTGAGAATCAGATCTGTGTGATCCAGAGAGGTTTCATTGGCTGGTATCTGGAAGGAGATTGCCAGACCCTTCTTCCTAGTCCCTCTTAGTCTGGAAGCTCTACTGACACCTGTTCAGCATCATAGGCACACGCAAGCCTCCTCTGATGAGGGTGGTGGCTGTACCTGAGTGGAGCTGGTCCGGAATCCATGGAAGCAGGGTCCCTCTTGGAAAGGGCTGAGTGTGTGGAGAAGTAGGATGAACAGGGTATGATAGGAGGACAGATCAGAGAATGTCTTACCCTGAGACCAGTCTATGTTCCTGGAGAGTCCTGGTGGAGGAAACAGAGAAGCTTCACCAAAGTTAGGTTAGTGATCATTTTGTTACAATGCATCTAATCCTTTATGAAGCAAGGGATGGGAGCTTATTATAGGTAGACATGGGGCACCCTTTAGTCTTATCCAAGGAAGGTACGTGTTCTTTGTCATAAACCATTTCCCAGAACATAAAGGGCGGCTAACCTTTGCCTCTGTGCGTGATCACAGGAAAAATTCTGCATTGTCAGCTGTGCCCAACAAAGCCACCAGCCACCAACCACCCCTGCCACCCATGAAATAGGTCTTTTGTCTGGGCAGATGCCGGCAGAAATGGATGGAGCTTAAAGCTGGCGGTGTGCCCTCACCAGATGCACACCCCTCCCCTCAGCCCTGCCTACACCCTCCAGGCCCACAATGGGTTCATAGCTGCTGGGGTGTATGTGTGAGCAAAGGCCTCTGAGCTGGAGAGAGGTTACTGCCCAGCCCTGATCCTTGCCTGGTGGTCAGTATGCTCCCAAGAAAGAGAGTAGGGTTTCTAGTTTCATGCTTGCCTGCACAAATGCAGATTCTCAAAGATGTGGCCATTCCCTTCCTTTCTTTTGATTCTCAGAATTGGCTTCTGGACATCCTTCTATTTAAATAGGAACCCTAATAGCATAGTGGGTTACAAGCTGGGCTGCTAACCTACAAGTTAGCAGTTCAGATCTACCAGTCGATCCTCGTGAGAAAGAGGAGGCTTTCTGCTCCCGTAAAGATTTACAGCCTCGGAAACCATGTACAGGGTGGCAGGGTTGGAACTGACTCCTCATCACACCACCACCACCAAGTTCAAGGTAGTACAGAGAGAGACATAGAGGTCTTCACAGTCTGTTTTTCATGTGTTTTTGTTTTTTGTTTTTGTTTTGATATTGATTTGTAGCAGTCCTTTTCACATTCTGGATACAAGCCCTTTGTCAGCTGTGCATATATTGCAAATATTGTCTCGCAGTTTGTAGTGTACCTTTTTATTGCCTAAACAGTCTGCTTTTGATGAGAGGAAATGTTCTTTTTATTTCAATCAAGTTCAGTTGATGAAATCTTTATGTCATTGACAGTGGTGGTTTTGTTTTTTTTCTACTCTAAGAATCTTTGAGTACTTGAAAGCAAGCAGCGAAGGGATTCTCGTACGGTTTCTTTTAGACACGTTTTCGTTGTTGTAGCCACCCGGCCAGGGGTGCACCGCAGGTTAATTTTTGCCTGTGCTGTGAGGTGGCAGCCAAGAGTCACTTTCCTCCATACGGTTAGCCACTTGGTCCAGCACTTCTTGTTGAAAAGACCTTCCTTTTGCCATTGATATGCAAAAAAGGGGGAAATACACCAGCACAAAAGAAGATATATATTATTTATCAAGGAAATGCATATTAAAACCACAGTGAGCCTCCTCCCTATTCTTGTACAAAGGCTTAAATACAACACAGAAGTCAAATGCCAACTACAGGAAGCAGCGGGGACGCCATTCATCACTCCTAGAATGCAAAATGATAGAACCACTCTGGAAACTATTTGGCAGTGGTGTGGTGCTGCATGGTAAGCACTTGACTACAAGGTGAGTTTGAACCACAAGGTTGGCAATTCAAACTCAGCAGCTGCTCCTCGGAAACCCTATATGGGTCGCTATGAGTAGGAACCAACTCGAAGGCACTTAACAACAACCAAGTTCAGGAGTCCTGATGTGATGTTGTATGATAAGCATTGAACTGCTAACCTCAAGGTGGAGATTCAAACCTATCAGTTACTTCTCGGAAACCCTATACAGGGTCACTATGAGTCAGAACTAACTCGATGCCACTTAGCAAAAACCAAGTTAAGGGTATTTTTACCAGCAATGGCCTTCCTCGGATAAAAGCCTGCCTACACAAAGATCGATACATGAGCATTTATGCAGTTTCGTTGATTAAAAACCCCAAACTGGAAACAACCCAGAGGTCCACTGGTAGGACGGGCGGAACAGGCTGTGGCCCACCCATACAGAATGACGCTATTCCGCAATGGAGAGAGAGAAGGAGAAAACAGTTGATGCATGCAATGACCTGGAGGAAGCCCTGTAGTGAGAGAAAGACGCCAGACACTAAAGAAGACCACGTGGTTGCCTCTGGGGAGGCGAGGACTGAGAATGGAGACTTTCTAGTTGGAGGTAAAGTCTCCTCCGGAGCTTGGAAAGTGGGGTGCTCCGACCAGCTTCATGGCGTTTTAGAAATGGAGGCGGCGAGTAACCTGGGCAGCGACAGACCTTGGGGTGGTTCTGCTGAAGGCCTGAGTGTCATGGCTCTGTCTTTATGGGAGCGGGCTTACTGGGAGCATAGTACGGTGTGCGTATCTGTACATTTGACCTGAAGCCTCTGCTCCCTCAAAAAATAAAAACAAACCTAAATTTAAAACCTAGAAACAACACCTATGGCGGTCCAACCGTTGTTGGTTCCATGTAAGATGCTCTGGCTGGAAGGGGCGTGGAGATGGACTGTCCACACTCCACCTTTAGGGCAGGTACACAAACTCTAAATGCCAGCGTTTGCACGACCCCGCATGCGCAGAGGATCCACATGGGTTCTGTGACCCGACAGAATGCAAAAGCCCCTGATGGGGAAGGGGCTCATATTCGGAGGCTGCTGAGCTCCATTTTGTGCGCGGGAGGGCACTGGGGGCTGCTTACCTGGCTGAGCTCTGCCCCTGATGGCACCTCCTTTCCCCTTCTCTTAACCCGCTGTCCGGTGTAAGGCTAGGGAGGACTCCTCGGCTCTTTTTACATCATTGTGTGTTCCTACACACAAGTACCCCGGTGTTGTTCTGAAGGCCAGAAATTCACAGATGTGGTGACTGAGGCACTGGGTCAGGAAGGGAGGAAGGGGATTTGTCTTCTGAAGTCCCAGTTGGGCCTGGGCACAGAGGAGGTGACCACTAAGCTGCCAGCTGAGGTCTGCAGGGACTCACAGGGAACCTCAAATTGCTCCCTTTTCTTCCTCTCTTGACTAAAGAGGCTATGACACTCCTTAAGACCTGGTAGTGACTCCCATTGCTGACCCACTGGGTGGGTCTTCCCAGTGCCCACAGGTTAAAGGTGTTAGAGCGAGTCTGTCTGCAATCCTAAAGCAAACCAAAACCCACTGCCACCAAGTGGATGGTGACCCTACAGCCACCCAGCGCGGACCTTCATTTGGTCTCCATTTGGTTATATGACTTTGGAATTTCATGCCTCCAATCTCCACTGGGTCCCTGATAAAGTCATTCACCGACACTGCCTGATGGACCACACGACAGTGCCCTGTAGGGGACCGGGTTCCTGGGCCTGGTGGACAGAGAATGCTACATGTAATCCAGGGGTCCCCTACAGGAGGACTGGAGCAGGACTGGTGGCACCCCATGATCTCAGAGCATTAGGAAAGGGGAGATGCTGGTAGAATCCAGAGGGAAGGAAGACATCACCTGCATTTCCAAGTAGGATTTTTAATGCTAGCCTGGGCAGAGGCTTGGTGTAGCACTGTAGGATCAGCACTGAATCGCAAGGTCAGTGGTTCAAACTCACCAGC